CGGAGAGAGAAAGGCAGTCCGTCATAGCAGAAAAATTAATCGGCAGTTCCTGAGGAATGGTGCATGCGGCGCGACGTGATGTGCTGCATTTCAAGCCACCAAAGGCTCGCCACGTGGATTACACTCACCAAACTTTAAAGGATTGCACGAGAAGGCTTGAACAAAGGCCATCGACCCCGCAAAAAACCATTGGGAAATCGACTAACGAATAGTCGCGACGGTATAAAATTTGTAACCTTACAAGAAAACTGATATCCGCTCCCGGACGAGATTAGCTCAGGAACGGGTTGCACGAGGGCCATGCGCGTGGGTCAAACGTAACTGCTCGGGCATCCTGAGCCCTGCGGCTGATTTTACGGAACCCGCGACCATGGACGAAACGTGGCTGTCTCTAGGATGATTTTAACTCACAATGTCAATTTCTTGCTTGAATGATTGTTTGATTTCTTGCTTGCATGATTGTTTGATTTCTTGCTTGCATGATTGTTTGATTTCTTGCTTGCATGATTGTTTGATTTCTTGCTTGCATGATTGTTTGATTTCTTGCTTGCATGATTTTTTAATTTTTTGTTGCATGATTGTTTGATTTCTTGCTTGCATGATTGTTTGATTTTTTTCTTGCATGATTGTCTGATTTTCTGCTTGCATGATTTCCTGCTTGCGATTGCCGTGTAATCTCTTATCTGCGTAACCGCACGTTTGCTCCCCATGGGCAACAACGTAATTCTTCTCCCTTATCGCATTTACACTCCTCCTCGCATATAAATCTTTGTTATATATTTCTCGATCTGCGTACGCTCCTTTAAATCCCCCTTTCTTAGCATGCTTCCTCATAGACTTGCTTGTCCTCCGGGGCACCATTCCTCTGGGAATTCAGGACTCCGGTCCAGCAGGTCCATGTGGCTCATCCCAGCTCCCTCCGGGGACCATGCACACCCCGAGCATGCTCCCCCGCGGACTTGCTCGCCCTCCGGGGCATCATCCCTTCGGGATTTTAGGGCTCTTGCCACTCAGACCCTCCGGGTCTTTCCTGCCATTCCCCTCTAGCGGGCTGTGCGACAATAGTATGCTCCTCGAGAGGACATGCTTGTCACTCAGGCACCACAGGAATTGAGGTCGCCGACTCGCAGGCTTTCTCTTCCTAATAGTTTCCCGACCTCTTCCCCTTCGGGGTATGTCACCAGCACGTTCTCAAAACCTAGAAACTTCCACGTAAGCACAACGCAAGACTGTTCAGGCAATAAAGAAGTCGAGGTAACGCCCTACTCCGCACCAGCTGCATTCGAGTAGCGACTCCCCCTTGCGTTAGCACCCCGCAACGCAGGGAACATCTATTAATCTGACCAACGGGGCCACCTCTGGCCCTTGGGCCGGTGTCTTAGCCCAAATCATTCTGTTATGTCGATCCCCATGGTCACATAAGACTATAACCTCACTCATGACCCCGATGAGAGGGGACAAGATGGCTTCTTGTCTAGTGCCTCACAAAACAAAAAGTAAAATCTCTCCGGGGAGATGTCCACCAGTGGCCAAGCTATCAGTTCCTCTGGGAGCGTTTATCCTCCTATCTTGAGCAAGCGTCATACTCCCCCAGATGCACGCCCTAGTCAGGGTAGGACCCCATCATCTAACTCCCTCGACCGAATGGCGTACTCCTCCGAATGCATAATGTAGACGGGATGAGTCTCTATTTACTTAGTCTAACCGTCTCACGGTCCGTTTCCCCCGGAAGCATAACTCCATCAACCAATAACGTACTCCCCCGGATGCGAATAAGGTCGGAGTTGACACCTATTAAAGCTGCCCTGCGGCTCGCTTCTCCGGAAGTGTAACTCCCTCGACTGATAACGTGCTCCCTCGAAAGATACAAATAAGGTCGGGGTTGAGAATGACCGTGCTCCTTCGTGACACGTGGTAAGGTCGGAGTCAACACCCTTCTCTCATTTCCCCGGAAGTCCGAACCATCCGGCCAGTACCGTATACCACCAGGATACGTGGCACGGCTCGGATGAATCCCTATTTTCACTATCTTAAGGAACTTAACTTCGCACATACTGGTACCGTATCCCTCGTGATGTGCGACATGGTCATCGCGTTAGTTTAGCCTTTATTGGCGAGTAGTTTAGGGAACCGGGTAATCCATGTTTATTTTATAGGAAACCGAGAAGTCGGAGGCAACTATTGGGACCGATTTTACCAGGCCCAAAGAGGACCTGACATGTGGACACTGAACTACCCTAAACACTGACACACGCCATGCTAGCTCGGCCGAACCACTCCCACATGCTGTTCCTAGGCAGTTGGCGAGCTTCCCCTAACACGCAAGAATTATCAACCCACCTGCTTCCTTGGCGCGTCGAATGGAGAAGACATGACATGGGGACTGCTAGTATAAAATGAGAGAGACCACCACACCAGAAAGCAGGCGGCTTGACGGATCTAACCCCTCTCTAGGAGAAGGTGTCCGACCTAACCGAGTCAACCATCTCCGTCAAGCAGCATGATCAAGGGAGAACCTTTTGCTCTCCCGAGTGAATGCCTACCAGGATGAGTCCTCTCGACCTGGAATCTTGTCTTTATACTTGCTGCACCTTCTTTCTTCTGTAGAGAATACCCCTCGAAACACTCATAAACAGATAGATGTCTCGATCTTCAGACGAGACTTCTCACCCCCCAAACCCCTAGGAACACCCTCCTGAGTATCTGTTCCTGGTAGGGCGTTCATTGACTTGGGCGTCGGAGAACCTTCGCGAGGGAAACCCTCTTTCGGTCTTTTTGAAGGCCCGATTGAGCTCTTGTGTAGTATTTGCAGGACCGCACATGATAACTGCCCCGTCACCAAAACTCAAGCAGGCGTCCGCCTCCAGAACGATTTATCGTCTTTCCCCTAGATAACGAAACTTGGAGGCACAGCTCCACATCTAGAACGAATCAATATTACTATCATCATATTTTTCTATAGTATCATTCTATTTTGTTTTTTTTAGTATTTTTTCTTTTCTATCTTTACAGAATTTTATAGGAATCCGTGTTTTTCAGACAAATTTGACGTGTCAGACTTGAACGAGAATTTATGCCCGATGTATAACCACCAAACCACAAGATGAGACGATTAAGTTCATTTAGATGTGGAGTCCTGGTTCATCTGAACTCCCAAGAAATATGGTCGTTTTGGTTAAGCGATACATGGATCCATTGGTCGGTTAGCTCGACCATCTTGACATTTCTTTTGACCAGAGTGATTTTCTGTCCCTTATATTTCATTCCTAAGGTTTGATTTCTCATGTTCCATGTCTTTTGGTGTGCATATCCTTCGAATGGTCTTGTACCCGCTCTTAGACGTCTTTTCTTTTTTTTTGTGCGTCCACAACAAAATGTTTTGATTCTTGTCAGGCTTGAAAATTCTTTGAAAAAAAACACTTGAAATCACTTGTTAATGTGTTTTTTAAATCTAGATATTTCAAGTAATGAGTATGGAGTTCTAGATTAAAAATTGCATAAGATTAACCATAAGAAACATATTGGATCTTAATGAGGGATTCAAATTTATTTTAAACAGCATAATCCACGCGAAACAATTGAAAAAAAGAATTACTTCCTATGATATATATCACTTATTCATTAAACCAAGTTTAAGTAAACAATACACCAAATCCAAAATGCAAAGTTCTTTTCGATTTCTCGAAAATACCCAAGTTTAAGTGTAGAGAATTCATTGGCGCACTTTTAAATTAGCTTTTGGATGATATGTTTTGTGAAATTCAGTTTCAAAATCGGTTTTTAAATGAACAAATAAGAAGGATTTACATACCTTTTGAAAGCATTTCATGGGTCTTAACCAATGCATTTGTCCTATTGAAGTGCCTTTGTCTCGTCATGTGAAGATGCTCCAGCTTGTGATTGATTATATCCAGGCCCGGCTCAAAATGGGTCAAAAACATTTTGGGCCCTGTGCTATTTTAAAAATATCTATTTGTTTACATTCTATTTCACAAAGTTATAAATTTTGGGTCTTAAATTAATAAAAAATTTCTTAGAAAACAGATAGGCTTTTGCACCATTGGCACATGCCTTAAGCGGGGCCTGATTATATCATAGCCTCTGAAGAGTTAAATTGTTGTCTGTTTAGTAGCACAATGAAGTTATTGAAGAACATTAGGTTGAAATATTCCCTTGTTTTAATTTTATACTATGTTCTGAGAGATTGTATTATGCTTTGTGGAACCACCTCTGTTTTCAATGATATTTAGATGAAAAAAGAAATGATGCCATGTCTCATTATTGCGTACTATATAGTTAATATTACATTTCACGTCACATATTTGCTAAGAATAGCCAATAAATTAATATCAATGCTCTGTTTTTTTAAGAATGTTCTAAAAAAAAATAAGAATAGCCAATAAAATTAAGACAAATCATTTTATTAAATATGGCTCTCAAGTAATATATATATATCATACTTCTTGTTCGTTTGGAAATTACAATTTTATAGTTTTTGTAAGGTACACAATATGCAATCAAAGAAAATTGCTAAGTCTGTCTATTTCAATCAAATATAATTGTAACTTGATATTATTTATATTCACTATTTTCTGTGATCAAAAAAAGAATGTACGTATTCGCTCTAGTCCATGCAACACGTAGCTCCACCACAAGCGAGAAAACGTTAAAACTCCACGTCCCTCTTCCTTAACCTTTCGCCATGCAAAAAAGAAGTGGTCGTGGTTCTTTATAAGCCAAATATCTAAACAAGAAAACAAGAGTATGTCATAAATGAGGATAATGTAAAGCCACAGATATCTAATTTAATGCTCCTCAAATAATCCATGATCTCTTCGTTCGTTGAAGGGTCTTTGATTAGCTTCATGGCGTCTCCTCCACCACATGATATTTCTATAAAATTCTACAACTCCATTTCTCGCAAAAAGAATTTCATCCTCCCCATTTTCCCATCTACAAAACACACATTTTCACCCAAAGAATCAAACAAGTCCAAGAAAATGGACCCGTGGTCATGGATATGTGAGCTTCTAGAATCTCCGGAGTTTGCCGAATCTGATTCACACGTAGTGTTTCAGCTCGGAGGAGACTTGACTCGTTCAATCCAACTCAGGGCTGAACGAGTTTTTGGGTCTGATCCAGAATCTTTCTCTCTTACCTTCAAAGTGATAGCAGAAGGTTTTAACCGCCTTAAATCGTCGACAATATGGGTCTCCGACACGTGTTCCTTGTCGTCGGAGAAGCCGTTCCTCCCTCTAGTTCTTCAGCTTCTTCGAGAACTAATCTCCCACTCCCCCATCACACGTGAGAGCGCGTGCACAAAGTCCGAGCTACTGGAAATCAAAGCGAGTCCGGTTAGCTGGGTCATGGACTCTCACTCGCCCGAGTCCTTCTCCTCAGTCTTTAACATGATACTCCTCACGCGTCTCTTTTGGCTGTGTATGTTCGACGCGCCTAGCGAAGTTGGCTCTTTCTTCTTTCAACACCTACTAGGTCCTCAGGTGAACACGCTTACGTGTCAACAGGCGCCTGTGTTACGAACGTTTCTCGTCTCAGTTGGTGTAGACGTCGAGCTGTGTATCGTACGCGCCGCTTCTTACGCTTTATCCAAATGGATGATCTCCAACGAAGTGGGACTTGGGAATCTCGGATTGAAACAGCTCTGCAGCAGCACCTTGCCACATCATCCATTGGGCTTTTCTTACGCAACAGAAGCCCATGGGCTTTGGATTTTGAAAGGCTATTTCCCAATCTTGTCAATGAACGTCACCAATCACAATAGCTCTAACGACATTCACAACAAGATAATCAAGTTTCCGATTGTAGAACCTAAGGAAGCTGTCCTACGTTACGCTTTGTCGCACCAACAAGCTGAAGTAATCATTCAGTTCGGGTACTCCGTTAAATTCCACGAGAATTTCATAAAGGTGAACGCACGTGTGGACAACATACGTATCCACGTGTCAAAGCTAGGGTTTCACAATGGAGGAGGAGGCGTGGAGAATAAGATAGCAGATTGTTACTCGGAGGAAAATTACCTCCCAACGCGGGTACGGGTTTGGGTCGGGCCAGAAATTGGATCGAGCCACGTGTCCGGGCTAAGCCTAGGACGGTCAACAAAGAACGAGGAGAGAGAGATTGAGGTAACGAGAGTGTTAAAGGGAAATTTTGGGAAAGGGAAAGTGGCTCCGAGAGTGAAAGCAAGAGCAAGAATGTCGACAAGGAAGAAGATTAAAGATTGGAGAATCGAGCAGGAAAGTGAAGGAAACGCTGCGGTTTTCGATGCGGTTTTGTACGATAGAGAGACCGGCCAAGAAGTGACGACGGCGAAGCCAAGTCATGATGGTTTCAAGAATGTGTTTACGAAGAGTGGAGGGATTGTGTTTGGAAGGGATGAGTACGGAGACGAAGTTGGGTGGAGAGTTGGGAGAGAGATGGAAGGAAGTGTGTTAAAATGGAGGATGGGAGGGAAAATTTGGCTCACTTATTGGCCGAATAAGTTAAACACTTTGTTTTATGAGACAAGATGCGTGGAGTGGTGTGATGAAGTAGATTTGCCTTTGCTTCCTACTTCTTAGAGAGTTAGAGATGTGAGGAAAAATATAGGTACAAAAATAAATGGAAATCGGTCATAAATTGGTATGTGTTTGTAAATATTACTCACTTTATTTCTAAAAGAAAGATGTTTTAGAATTTGTATACATATTAAGAAAATCTATTATATAAAGAGTGGGTTGTGTCTCACAAGTGATTGACACCTCAGCATCCCCTTTTTTGACACATCAGTTTTAATTATTTTTTAAAATAAAATTTGAATTTTTTAAAATAAAATTTGAATTTTTTCAAATTCTTCGTCTCCCTTTTTTTAATGTTCAAATCAGTCAATATTCCATCTACAGCAATTTCAATAAGCCGTAAATTTCTATTATGGTTTTCAGTGTTTGATATCATCAACGAGTAATATATATATTTGAAAACTCTAATGACCAGTGTTTTCAGTGTTCTAGAACGATGTAATATAGCTTCTCGGAGATGATTAAAGAAGAGATATTACAAAGTCTGATTTGAGTTTTTCTACTTTCTTCTGATTCAATTCCCATTTGGGTTTTTCTTCTCTTTTCCGGAACCTTCTTCCATTTAACGGAGAGACTGAAAGAAAGAATGATCGAAGATGTTGATGGAAGTAGCAACACCGGCACCTACACTGATCCCATCACCAAAGAAGAATAGGATTCAAGTCTATTGCTGAGACTCACTAGAAAAACAGGATTCAAGACTCCAAAACGAAGAAACCATTGTTCTTCTACGTTATTCTTGCCAAAGTATGTTTAATTATTGATTGGAACGATGTTTATCACCAGATCTACGGTTTTCAAATCAGTCGAGTATGCATTTTTTTGTAATTAGTCTACAGAAGTGTGAGATCCGTTTGATTGTAGATTGTACATATAATGAGCAAAAATCGATTAGTATGATTTTGAGTCTCTTGTTTTTGATCTGCTTCCTGGCTATATGTAGTAATGATTCGTGATTGATCTTCAATTGTTTGATGGATCAGCAATTTCTGTCCACTAAAAGTTTCTTCGTATTACAAAAGGAGCAATTGGAATATTTCTGAATCAACTTTTTAGTCTTCCCAAGAGAGGCTTTGATGTTTCACCTACACAGCAGCAACTACATGAAGAGTATTACTACCAGATCAAACTGTAAGCAAGCACTCAATTCTGGGCAAAACCAGTGTCTGATGGTTAATTTTGGAATACGGATTCACTTATTTTTTGTATATGTATATAGAGATGAAACTCTGGAATCTCACGTTCAGTTCTTAGAAACTCTTGGTATAGCTGGAGCGAGTCATCACAGGTTACTCACAATTCATTAGGATTTCAGAGTGTATGAACTCCGACCTTAGGTGACCTCATTTCCTATACAACAATGTCGCTTTGTCTCCGTCTACGTTTACATGTTATCCTCGAAACCTATTATTGCTATTAGGATTTATTTTATCTGTGTCGGCATTCGTGTTGAATGGTTTAGTTGTTTTGATGTTCGTTTGGATATCTATGAATTATCATTAAGAATGTCTAGAAAACTTATATTCATGTGACCATTAGTTACCAGCGTTCTATTAAATAACAAATTTTGAACAAATTCTTTTAAGTTTTTGGAATGTGTTCGCTGAATTTGACGCGTGTATGGAGGAGCAGTGGATCAAAGTTCTTATTCTCTCTATGAAAGTGAAATATAAGGGTTATCGAGTATGCTAAAGAGAAGTGTTGATAATATAGTTTGAACTATTGGGGTATGTAGAGGAAGCAAAGAAAGTCAAGATGCTTTTCTTCATTGCTACCTTCCCATTATGGATGAGAAACAACTATTAAAAATGAATTATGGTTCTCTGATTTTCTATGCTTATAGATTATTATGTATTTCAATTATCGATCATATGCTAATGGTCTGGATTTAGAAAAGTTAGCAGGTGCACATTTTAAGTTCTACGTTCATGTATCTTTCACAGAAATCGTAAAATCTTCAATAAATTATGCATTGTTAAATTTGATTTTGATTGAAGTGTTTGGTGTCTGACTTTTACTTTCAAGTGGCACAGATATTGACTGATGAAGTTATTGAAAGCTCACTTAGTGGACGATGTGTCGGGTTTGAAGGTGAAGTAATGTTGGGTTACGTATTTGGTAAAAAAAAACCAGTGTCGAGAAGTTATAGAATTTGTGTTCGATTCCAAATATGAAATTATGAAAGTTTAATAGAAAAGTAGTTAATTGTGTTCTCTGATTATGATGTAAGATGTGATGGAATAGTTGTAATGTGTCTTAGTTAGTGAGATGAAAAAACAAGAAGAATTTATAGGGTACATGTGTCTTCGTGGATAGAAATAGGTTAATTGTTTTTCCTCAGTCTATTACAGAATATGTCTGAACATAATTAAGAGTAAAAGTAGGATGAAAAGGAGTTCTAGATTATGAAGATAAAAGGTCACGTTTTCTATATTTTTTATATTATTTTTAATTTATGTATCAACGAATAACTTACAACACTGTTTTTTTAACCAAATATTTAAACAATTTAACAACACTGTTAAATGCTACGTTTTGGTTAACATGCGTTTTAACATTAGGATTTCTATTTATTTACATATTTATAAATTGCCAAGTTTTATAAAACACATTTTATCTTTTCTTTTAGTGTTTTGTTTTTTTTTTTTGTTTTCTGGATTATAATTAGTTCCCAGTTTATCTTGCAAGCTGAAATTACTTCTTTTGTAAACTCAAGTTATTTATTTTTAATATAAAATTATGAAAAAAAATCTTCTTTTCTATTAATTCAAAACAAAAAAAAATAAGAAGAATTTTAGTATATAAAAAAATAAGTCAAAGAGTGTATATTAAATTTTAACAATATTTATATATTTATAATATTAATATCATTCACTCAATATATTTAAAATAAAATAATATATAGTAGGATGTAATCCTGCGTGTACACGCGGGTCATCACCTAGTATATTAAAAGTTGAGAATAATTGTATTGTTCTTTGTGATTAACAATTTTCTATAAAATTTACCTAATAATAATCCAATAAATTCAATTACTTTTGTTGAAATATATAATTTATCATCATCAACTAATAAAAAAATACATTGAAAACATAAAACATTCATCTTTTTGAAACATAATTTTTTTTAAAACATCTTTTTTTAGAAACATGGGAGTAATTAAATAGGTGTCGTGGTATGACAAATGTTTGTATTCGTATTTATTGTGTACATGCTGCATACATATCTTATTATATAAAATTGAATGTATCAAAGTTAGTAATTCACATTATTACCACATCATAAAACATGTTTTACATAAATGAATTATCAAAGGTATTTATTTACTACAAAAAATTAATTAGCAATAGAAAAAAGTGATTGCAAATTTGCAGTAGCGTTACAAAAGATTTGCGGCTAAAGTTTCTTCGCCAATTTAGGAGTGATTAGTTACAAATTTTAAATTAGATAGACTACAATTAACACAGTGAGTAACTACCTAATTGCAAGAAATACGGTTGCATCTGTTTATAGTATTTGTGAAGGATTTTACGTAAGGCACATTACATTATTATGTTGAGTTTTTCATTTACATGTCACATAAAAACATGTTATATTTTATCATGTATTTTTATTTATTTAGGAGCAAAACATAACTATTTGTTATAATAACGTTATTAGTTAAAAAAAAAAGAATTCTCACAAGATGTGTATATTATGAGTTCAAAAAGTAGATTTTTGTAGCAAGTGATAGTAAATTTTATAGTAAAAATACCACGGCAATATGTGTTGTGTATGAAAAAATAAAATAATATAAAGAGTTAGTTGCTAATTTATACGTACAAAACAGTATGATATATCAAAGCTGTCTAAACATTAATTGATGCATTTACCCAATTAAGAAAAAAAAATACCATAACAAATTGACTTCTTAATAATTAGTAAATTCTAAAATCTGCTGAATCGATTTTTGCTAAATAAACCCTCTTGACGAAACCATCATTCTCGCAAAATAATCTCAATCTAGACCATACAAAACAGATTATGTTTTAAAGTTTGCATATTCACAATATTTACGTTATGTCAGCCCAAGTGTCAAAGAAACTTTGCATTCTTTAAGTGATTGTAATTTTCTTTACAATGATATTTCCGGCATAAGTCTCTCATTCCAACATGATAGATGTATGTGTACAAGATTGTGTCACAAACCAGTGCATGAAATCATCATAAAGGTAAATTCAGCAGTATGCGATAAGCCTTGCAAGTTAATTTGTGATCTGTTTTATAATAAGTGATATGTTGTCCTTGCTAAAAGATATCGTGATCCCTGTAATAAGGTTCTGCAGAAGATTTAGTTGGATATGTTATCGAAAAGTATGAGCATAATTTATATATTTGTATTATTTGATAGATTACTATCTCATTTACGTAGTTATTTTTTTATTAAAAATATATTTTTGTGGTGAATAACGCTATGTTCAATATATTTTTTAGTATCAGTTTAAAAAAAAGAAATTGGCAGCAATAACTATATAAAAAAATATGAGTTAAGAGAATAACCAAATGAAACTAGTGGATAGAGTATTGTGTGTATTTTATATATTAATTACAAAAATATTTTTATATTCATATTTGAAGCAAATACAAGTGGTTATAAGACACGCTTCTTAATTAGGAACTGTAAAAAGTATTGGTTTAATATCTGACACGTCCACATAGAGAAGCAACCGTTCATTTAGTGGGAGAGGAAACAGATCTTTCAAACTCAACTCATTTGAAAGCATAACATGAAGAAATTGGTGAGAGTTATAATCGGATAAATAATACAGAAAAAGGTGGAGAAGAAAGGTGTTAATTTTCAGTGTGTCTATATATCGAATCTGGTTGGTTGCTGTTAGAGACAGTGTAAACCCTAAGACAGCGATGCATAATCGGAATTGCAGGTGCATAGGAGTGGAATGGGGGGGGGGGGGGGGGGGGGGGGGGGGAGTTAGAGACATGTATAGGTGGTGTAGTTACTAATTGATGAATCAATTTGTTTATAAATAAGTGTTTCACTTAGGATATATAATCCTTGTCATCTAAACATTATGCTTAGGTTATCTGGAATTTTGGGATTCAGTCAAATTATGCGGCTAGTGAAACTCAAAGGTAGACTTATGTATACCAATAGAATTGAGAGGAATTTCTAAAACAATTAGAATGGGAGAAGTTATAGCGGTCACTATAGTAGATCTTAGTAGTTCTGTACATATATGTGAGTGTCACAATATTATAAATAGCTGTACTACTACTATCATATACTATGTTTGAGAATTGAGACCTTGTACTGGAGTTTATAAAGTAATAGATGAAGTAATTTTTGTGTTACACATAATGCGAACTTGTAGTACAGAGAAAGAGCACATGTTTCTGACGGTTGATAATAACTAGTATACCATTATCAGATAATAGTTTAGTAGTATATTATGTGTGTTGATTATTACATTTTTTGTGTAGAAAGACATCTGAGTAATGTTGTTGGATTATCACATGCAGGATGGAGGAATTAGGATTGCCTAGGCGTTTGTTTGAATATGGGTTTGAACCAGAAGAGCAGAAGACAATGAACAATGATTTCAACCTCAGATGGATTAAGAGTATAAAACCTGCACTGCTTGACGAGCATCTTGAGATGTTGGCGGGCTCACAATTGGAACCTTGATGCAGATAGGAAACCATACATTTTCAATTATGTTTGTGTATTACCTGCTATCGAGACAGTTGATTACAAAAAAAAGTATGAGTTATGGCGGGTATTTGCCGGGATGCCAATTGAATTTGCAATTGAGGATTTTACATTGGTGACATGCTTTAATTGTGAAAAATTTGAGAATATAAGTGGGAAAAGAGCGTCAAAGTCTGCGTACTACGAAGGGAAAATGTTAAGAAAAAGCTGTGAAGTCAGACGGTCCAATATGAAAGTCATTGTTTAGAAAGGTGGAAACACCAACAACTGAGTGGATTATGGACAGGCTGCTTATGGGGCAGAAATATGAAGATCCACTTGGGTTTCGATTGGCGTTACTTCTACTTGTGGAAGGGATTTTATGCTTGACATCTGCTACTGCCCATGTACGGCCTAAAGTTGTTTAGATGCTTGGGGATATTAATACCTTTTTGAACTACTTGTGGGGACGAGAATCTTTTCTTTTTTGTGTTGCACAAAATCCAAATCCACAGGTCAGTATACACAGGAAACAATGGAGATACATGGATTCATACATGCCATTGTGCTCATAGCCGTCTGTTGTTGTCCTATGATAATTGATCGAGGCAAAGCGGGAGATAGCGTGAGCGCAAGCATGGATATCCATGATCTCGTTCAAGATGTAGTAGAGAGAAGTTTATTAATCAATGTAGTTGCAACTATGAAGCTGAATCAGAATAGACAGGTAATGTCCCTTGCATAGTTTTGGTCAAATGCTATACTAGGTTCATATCATGTGTACCATAGTTTATTGGATCAGTTGCTTTGTTTGTTTTGTATGTTGTTTATCTTACCATTCAATATTGTATGATTTGAATATATATTTTGTATGTTTGTATTCAAGTAGATGTCTGGTGTCTCTTATGTGGGCCGGATGAGGCACTAGAACTATTATTTTCGTTTCCTGAAGAGAAAGCCAATGCAAAAGTCGATTACTTGGTTACTTTAGCTGCAGAGGACTATCCTTTCGAGCATAACACATGGAGAGGCAGGATTAACTGAATGGAGATAAGTGCGGGACGAAATTAAATGTGCGTATTAGAAGAACCGCACAATAGTTACCAATCAATAAATTATAACAAATTTGCGTTTTTCAAAAAAAAAAAAAAAAGCTAAAAGCGGAATTGAATAAGAAGTAAAGGACCGCACTTCAAAACTTTTCATGCTCCAAATTGCTACGGTCCAATGCGGATCAGTTGTCTTATTTATATATATTAATTTTAAATTCAATTTTTTTAGTTAATATTACTATATAATAGCATGAATTTTCATTCTTTTGTGTCACTCAAATAACACTTCACCTTACTCTCAACTTTGAAACACAAGCTGCAAACCTACCTTTCGAAGAGAAACTGATATCGGTGAGATTATTCACTAAATTCAGGTATTTTTAAATTATCATGTTAATTATATATATATATATATACTTATGCAATATTTAAAAAATTAAAAGTTTATTGGCCAAATGTAATTTTATGTTAAATTTATTTCTGCATTATTTTTTTTACTATACTTTATAAATATTTAAGTTATTATTATATAAAAACTTTTTAATTAAAATATTTATAATTCTCGTAGAATTTAATATTTAGCAACTTCATCTTTCAATATTCAATTTGTTTATCCCTTATTGTTTTTCTTAAAATACATGTATTTGTTTATATGTTTAATTTTACTTAAATTTAAAATTTATTATTATAATAAATTATATATTTTATCAAATTATAGAAAAATTAATAAACTTAGTAGAAGTAATATTATACTGTATATAGTAAATTATTTTAATACTACTAATCTTAGAGCTGAAATTACATAAATAATATTGAAAAATATTTTACTAGTTAAGATTTAATATCATACAAAGTTAAATAATATGAACATATATTATTATTAATATATTCAGTTTAAATAATTAATTATATATATACAAATATATACCATATATATGTTTCTATATTAATATTTTATATATTTATATCAAAATAATTATATTATTGAAAATTTTATTTGACAGTAAATAAATAATTATGTGTGCCTATCTCCGATAAAAATAATATTGGAATATTTTATAAAATTTATATTACATAAATTAAGTTAACAAATATATATATAATTATATGAAAATAATATATATATATATGTGTATTATATTAGTATAATAAGTTTTTATATATATACATATATTTATATTTGTAAACATATATTTAATATGGATATGTAATTTTGTGATAAAAAATTATTTGATTTGTGCAAAGCATAAAAAATATTTGTATAGATTGTATTAATATTTATTATCAGTTTCTAACAAACTAAAATTATTGTTTAACTTTATTAACAACAGATATGACATCTAATCATCGACGATGCACAAATTCTTCGAGGCGGAATGATTCGAATTCTGGAGAAATTCCAACTCCTCCCAGCAGAACAACCATAAGGGTATATATATATATATTTATAAAAAATATATTATATAAATTTAATAAAATAATTAACATAATAATTTTTGAAATTTGCAGAACAAAGACAAAGAAAAATACAAATAGTTGTATATTACGGAAAAAACTTTAATAGAATTGTTCGATGAAGCAATTACGATGAATAATTACACTACAAAGAATCTTAATCCTTTTGGAAGAGAGTATATGGTTGAAAAGTTCAACAGTGCGTTCAACATGAATATAACTTATGGTTATTTTAAGAACAAGCTTGATGAATTCAAAAAAAATTACAAGAGATGGAAAGTCCTTATGAGTTTCACTGGTATTTCAATGGATCCTGAGACATCCATAATCTATGCATCTGACCCATGGTGGAAAAGCGTAAATTGGTAAGTATACATAATTTTTGTAATCATGAAATTATGTATTTAAATTTAGGTACCAAATAATTTGATGGCTCTAAATTTATAGGGATGCAAAATAACAAAGGTTTTCAACCGAAAACCCCCAGATTTTTGCGATGTGATGGTGCGATGTTTTGTATTACATGATGTCCAATCACAGTCTCAACATTCTGCGGGCCAAAGAAGAAGAGAGTTGATAAATGAGTGTGAAGACGGCCTTCATGGCTCTGACACTGATAGTGGTGACATGCCTGAAACACAAGTTCATGAGACGCAAGAAGAGGAAGACATTTATTGTGTAATAATTGATGATGATACACCTCGTGTCACAGAAGAGGTCCGAAATCCTGCTCGGAGAGGCCAGCAACGATGAAGGCTAAATTTGCAGACAAACGCTAGACGTGAGAGTACTTCAGAAAGATTAGGTCAAACGTCACGTCCTTCTACTAGTGCTGGTTCACGAGGAGGTCGGAGAAGACAATTGTTTGAAACAACTATAAAATACACCATAGCTGGATATATAGAGTTCCAACGACAAAGTTTACAACAACTCTGCCCAGGTGCTTTTGACCAAAATGACTATGACGAGTGGAAAAAAGCAGAAGCCATATTCCTTGATCTAGAAATTCCAAAAGGAAAATTTTATTGGGTATGCCTTAATACACAAAGAGTTAGTATTTTGGCGAAAGTATTTTATTGATATAGCTGGAAGCAGTGACGAGGATAAGCTACAACTGTTATAAGCAATGACTGGTGTTTCTCGAAACAACAAAGATGTCCCAAAACTGTTAGGCTCGGGACCATCATATGGGAGTCCACATTCAGGAGGACTATCATCTGGCAGTCCATCTTCTGGGGGTAACAGTACATGAGGATTGTGGGCACCAAGTGGTCAACAATGGGGAACACCACCAAATGCTCAACAATGGGGTTCATCCCAAGCTGCTCCACAATGGGAAACACCACCAACTGCTTAACTGTGGGGCATGCCACTGAATGCTCAACAATGGTGCACACCACTGAACTCTCAACAATGGGGCACACCACCGAATGCTCCACAATGGGGCACACCACCGAATGCTCCACAATGGGGCACACCACCAAATAATTCACAATGGGGGTTTTCACCAAACCAGACACAAAATTATCCACAAGGGGGGTGGGGGGGGGGGGGGGGGGGGGGGGGTGGACATCAGGAATAACTCCGACCAATGTTCAATATATATTTTCAATTGGAAGTCAAGAAAAAAGTATGAGAAATTCTGAACAAGACATTTCAGATTCTGCATGTAGGAAATTCTGAAAATGCTCAAGTAACATCATTACAGGGTCTTGATTTCGCAAATTATAATGAGTCTGCCCGTAAATCACCAACACCTACACGTGGAGGTCTATTCAACATATGGGGAAGATCGAGAAGAAGAAATATAAATATAAATGAATATCATAAAAGTGATTCAGAAGACGATAATTAGTTTATGGTAGTAATTTTTTATCATTCTCGATACTGTAATAAAAAAATAAACTATGTTTTGATTATTAAGATTTAGTATTTTCTGTTACTGTTTAATATAAATTTATATTTGCTTAATGATGTGATTTCATTTATGTTTACAGTTTCAGGCTCTTCGTATATGTCAGTTGAGAGCACAAGGATTAGAGAACCTAAGTTACGAAGAGAGAACTGAATTATGGAATTTGGAAAATGAGCAATATGCAGAGTTGGTAATTCAACCAGCATCGGAGATATTTTGAAAGAGCACCAGTACAAACTGAAGGATGTTTAGGATGGACAAATATTTGGCATCGACTGCAAGAAGATGATGCTGCTTCTCTTCAGTTACTGCGAATATCGTTGTCATGTTTCACAACATTGTGTGATATGCTTTAAACAAATTATGGACTACAACCAACATTAAATATAGGCGTTGAAGAAAGTGTGGCTATGTTTCTACGGATATGTAGGCACAATAAAGTTCAAAGAGATGTTGGTTTGAGATTTGGCCGAAATCAAGAGACTGTACAGAGAAAATTTATTGAAGTTCTTACAGTGACTGAAAACCTGGTGCGTGATTATATTAGAACTCCAACAAGAGAAGATCTACACCGGATTCCTGAAAGACTTTTCGTAGATCGAACATATTATCCATTTTTTTAATGGATTCGTTGGAGCTATGGATGGGACACATGTATGTGTAAAAGTGAAGCCTGAGTTACAAGGAATGTATTGGAATCAACATGATCATGCGTCTTTAAACATCATGGCAATATGTGATATGAATATATTATTCACATATATTCGGAATGGAGCACCAGGATCATGCCATGATACTGCTGTTCTGGCGATGGCACAACAAAGCGACACTGACATCCCTTTGCCTCCATTAGAGAAATATTATCTCGTTGATTCTGGTTATCCAAACAAACACGGATTTTTAGCTCCATACAGATCATCACAAAATGGAGTTGTGAGATATGATATGTGTCAGTTCAACTCTGGTCCTGCTCCTAGGAATAAATAAGAGCTATTCAATCGATATCATGCGTCATTGCGTTCTGTAATCGAGAGGAGTTTTGGAGTTTGGAAGAAAAAATGAAGGATTCTTTCGGATTTCCCAAGATATGGCATAAACGTTCTAAAAAGAGTGGTAATGGCTACAATGGGATTACATAACTCTATCAAATTTTCAAATTTTTCGGATGCAAATTTTGCATATGTAATGACAGAGATAGGAATAAACAACAGAGATTCAGAATCTGACGTAGGTGACACAGACACAGCTGGGTAGCGTATAGAGAACATATGGCACAAATAAGAGACAATATTGCAGATATATTGTGGCAAAATCAAACTACTCGATAATTTTTTGTAATTTGTTTTAGTATTGTATTTATCTTTTTAATTATTTAACATTTTTATGTATTAATATTTATGATATTTAAGATACATATAAAAATTTGTATCACTAAATAAATAAAAATTAATTCATAATGATGATAATATTATATGTATATTCATATTTACTTACTTTTTAAATTATGCGCCGCTTGTTAATATTTTCACCAATCAACAATGCTTAATGTTTTTTCACCAATCGAAAATTGTTTGCACCGCACTTTTTATATTAACCGCACTAGTTTCACATAATGCATGTTCTGAAGTTTTAACCACATCTTACTTTAAAATCCGCATTTTTAATCCCATAAAACATTGTTACCATTCGGAGCAGAAACGCCGAGTTCTTTTAGATGAGGAAGATGAAAGCATAGGTTCGGACAGCAGCAGTGATGAGAACGCAGATGAAACAGATAGTAGAAGTGGCGTAAGTAAACCTTATAAGAAAAAAAAATGGAATTACAAATACAAGGAATGATGGCGAAGACGTGCTGGATATGACGGAAATAAGTGGATTACTCAAAATGCTAAGAATGGAGTTCGAGGATAGAATGATGAGAGTTATGGATGGTTATGCGTCTGTGTTGATATCCCATTTCAACACTATAATATCAGACTTGAAGAATGAATTAGAGGGCAGGAAAAGAGCTTATGATGTGCTTGGAAAGGGAATTCGGGAAGGTTGTGTGGAATCAGATGGGCATACATCTCGCCGGCTCAATTCGCGGGGACAGTCCAGACTGGTAAGGACATCAATGAGCCTCTTTACTTTTAGGTTATATACTTTATGGTAAATGCATTGCCCTATGAAACATGTGATTCTGATTTTTATATTACAAGCAACTGATGCTAAAGGCGATTTCTGTGATAAGGATTCTGAAGATAGTTACAAAGGAAATTGATTGATGATGTATGCATGGATATAAACAGGACCCATAGAGAGAACGAGGAAGCTCAGGCAGAGGTTTGTAGTCGTAGTATATGATCTGAATTATAATACCATTAGGTTAGGCACCGCATTATTAGTTGACGTGTATGAATCAATCATTTGTGTAAGCTTGTTCCTGCAGTTGCAATGCGGTGGGAGTTATTGTGACAATTGGACTCGTAGAGGACATACCACCCTTTGGTGGAGACAGTCGATGTTATTGCCACAGCAGATGTATGTACTGTGATTATTTGTTATACTATGTGGATATTTTTGTTGTGAAAGGGATGCTTACAGCAGAGATTTTCCTAATTAGGCGAAAATGGAACTCACGATTCAAATGGTGTATCTAATATGGCGTATGAACTGCAAGTTGCAGTACTTGAAGTTAGCTGATTACTATAATGTTTACAATCATTATAGTACATAACTTATCTTTTGTGGGTTTCACACTATGTGGTAGCTAGTTGTAACAGCCTCCAGCCGGGTTGTTGGAGGCATTCGAGGTGGAGTGGACAATAACACCAGCGGTAGAGATAAGGCTGTTTCATGTGTTATGACAAAAGTACGTTCAAGATGACCGTGTCTTTTGAAATGAAATATATGTGTAAATGTGTTACTATACAATCACATTGACATCGAATTAGTAAGTGAGATATATTTGAACCTTTGAATTTAATAGACTGACCATGTAGTACTCTGTACAGTAGTATATATTATTAGTGTACTATTCCATGCATAGTATCTTAAAGAATAGTACCGCCAATATAGAAAGTTGATCCACTGTCTATGTAGTATTGTCTGCAATTTGTATACAAGATGTAGTTGGAATCCCATAATTCGTTTTTTACAGAAAAGTATTGAGTATGTAGAAATTCGTGTAGGCAATGCGGAAATGTGGCATCGGGGACCTCTGGAAGAGATCCTACATCCTATATTTAAAATTGGATTAACCCACCTAGATGCAGGTTCTCAAATAGAACGATCAGAAATGGGCAAGGTAACAGCTACTGCCTTTCTCCCCTCGTACTATATCGTATACACATGTGGATCCAACTCTATTCGTATTATTTATTGAAACCAGGATGAAGGAGAGGTAAATGCCTTTGAAAAAGAACCCATCTCACATCGGATACATAAGAGAAACAGAACTACACTCAGAAAATACACACCTCCACTCCAATCAAAAAACAAATTACTAAGCCACCCCTAGGTGTGCAAACTAAACTATGAGTAATCACTACGGTTGGTTTGACGGGTCAACATGCATTTCAAAGCACAAGCAAAATCATAAAGTTGGTGGCTGGTTTCAGGCCGTTTGTGGCAGTTGAAATTGATGGGAGAGAGACAACACATAAGTTTTATATTAATATATGCATGTGATTGATCAACGCACATTGTTACTGATGTATGTATATACAATGTACAGAATCCCTGACATAGTGGAGTTCGAAACCAAATAATATACAGACATTATTAATTTCTAATACAATTATCTGATAAGGTAGTAGTAGTAGTACACAATGTTTTGTATTCGCTAGTACTATTCTATTGGTATTGAAATGGGCTTTCTATTGTTGCAGCACATGGATCTATGAACTAGGTTTTCACAGCAAAGGAGGGATGCAGATACTTCCAACAAGTACGACACCGTACCTGCTACTTTCCTTTCCGAGCTGAAACGGGAGGATACACAATTTATTGCAGTGGATGAAAATGTGAATTTCACATTTTCCAACCAAGCACGAGTTATGATAAACAGCATACCAACTTGGTGTTCAAAAGTTATAACTCTGCCCAATGCAGATTGGAAAACCACATTGGGTAGGACTTGTGATAGACCTAAATGATTGGGCGATATATGTGCTTGACTGTAATATGTCTTGCGTATCAATTTGCATGAAGAGCAAACTGACAGCTATCGCTGAGTTACTTCCATATTTCATTTATATGCATTGTGGAGAGGATGTAAATAAGGTCCTCCTACTTGATCCCTTCAGAGTGACAAGGATGGATGTCAATATGATGTGTGAGAGGCCTGGTATGCAGTGCATTTATAACATAATGATACTAATATAAGATCCATGCATAAACATTATGTGATAGAACTCACATAGTGACCTTCTTTTGTATGCAGGTCTGTCAGCTATTGCATCGATGGTTCTGATGGAGATGCATGCTACTGGACAACTCTCTAACTGTAGTGGTGTTGGAAAAGATGATATCCACACCGTAGCTGCAAACTATGCGATCCCGTCTTTTAGGGCAATAACTGCAGCACCTATCTCTTCCCATCCATAGTTTCGTTTTCCCTTTATCAAACTATGCAACTACCTTTGAACTTACAAGTATTTTATTTTAAATGTTTTGTAGGTTACATTGTGATTTGTATGTTTTGCACGTGGAACATCTTTTCCAACAAGAAAACTATTATCGGATAAATAAATTGATTAACTGTCAATCTCGAGATATTGCACTATGGTTACTATGATTACTATGCAGGTTAGTCATAAATAAATAAAAGATGGTCTATTTTACTGAATTCGATATAAATATACTCTTAAGTAATGTGAGACAACATGTATGATAACTTGGATGAAATTACGAGAAGGATTAGTAGTTTATATAGCATACAATTCATATGATATTTTCTCATTTCTTTTGAAATTCTTTTTTTGTCGGATATCAGATAGCTATTTTACCGAATTATATTAGGTTGGCCATGTAATTAACATTAAATATATTATATCTTTTGAAATCCAAGACATTTCATAATGAATGGAATAGACATTGTTGTGTATGGTAACTTAATAAGATCCCTAAATTCAATTGACAATTTACCAAATTCAGTTACAATTAGTTAAATAATGGATAAATATAGTTTGATATTCTAAAATCGAAATAAATCTATACTATTTTTTAAAGAATATATCACTCGATAATGTTATTTTAATTTATTATATTAATATAGTATGTAACATAAGTTTTTATTTTTATGTTTTTTTAAAGGTATTTTCAATTAGTGGTTTGGATTTAGTTTTGAATTATTTAGGTTCATTTCAAAATTTATAATAGATTACAACTTACGAAGGATATATATATATATATATATGGTTTAAGTATAGTAAAGAGTGGATTTGATTTAATTTTAAATTATTTGGGTTTATTTCAAAGTTTATTTCGAATTACAGCTTACTAGAGCTATATATACATGGTTTGGGTATAGTAAATAGTGGATTGG